CCCCATGAACACCTAACCTAACTCGCCCTCAACCCCCATCTCCATGCCACCTCCGCCTGGGCTGGTGCTCGCCGGTCCAGTATCCTCTCCTACATCACCAAGCACGGGGGGACAGAGCCCCTGCTTGGGACATGGGGAGTCTTTCCTTCCCCGGGGCCACGGGACTGCCCCCTCCCCCTCCCCCCTGCCATCGCACCGAGCCAAGACCCGGACATGCCCCTGAGATAACACTTCCCACGGAGCTATGAATGAGTCTCGAGATTCCGTCTGCACGCGCGCCCCTGTCTGCTGCTCTGTGTGTCTCGGCCTCGCTGCATGTCTGCGAGGGGCCGCCCCGTCAGCGTGGGGGGGCCGCCTGCCTGCTGCTTCGCGGAGGAATGATGTGGTCTGTGCCCCTCCGGTCTGGTCTGGGCCGAGCCGGGGGTGGGGGTGGGGAGCCGGCGGCCCGCCCCCACCGCGGCTGTGGCCGTGGCCCCCGTGCCTGGCTGCTGCACGTGCTGCTGAGATCCGGCCTGCGCCCTTCTTCCGGGTCGGAACGGGCCGAGCGGCCCAGGAGAACTCTGGAGCAGGGCGAGGAGGGGGCTGGGCCAGGCCGGAAACGGCACCGGGAAGGGCAGGGGCTCCCGGCGTAGCAGAGCCCCCAGAGCCCTCCGACGGGCCGGGGGAGCTCCGGGGACAGGTAGCTCGAGGGTGGGGCCACCTCAGCCACTGCCTCCAGAGTTCTTCCTGGGGCCCCCCAGGTCGTGCGGGTGTGGCTCTCGGGGGCACGAGGGTGCCTGGGAGTGACTGCCCTCGCCTTTGGTTTTCTGTAGAGGCTCCTTCGCATGGACCTGCCCGTGGCCGATGACAACACCGTGCACTTCAACTCCACCCTCATGGCTCTGATCCGCACGGCCCTGGACATCAAGATCGCCAAGGGTAAGGGCAGGGGCCGAGCGGGGAGGTGGGACCGGATGGAACTGGGGCCTGGGAGGGGCGAGCCATGGGCAGCAGGGATTCCCCCCCTCCCCCCCCGCAGCCAGAGGAGCCCTGGCCCTCTCCGATCTTCACCCACTCCCCGCGCTCACTCGGCACACATCTCGGCTCACTTCCTGTGCGCCGGTGGCTGCTGGAAGTGAGCGGGGGTGGGGGTCGGGGGGGAGGAACGTGGCAGCTCATGCTTCTAGAGGGAGAGGCTTCCCTGAGGAGGTTCTGAAGGACTCACGTGGACAGGCGGGGAGAAAGCGCCCCAGCAGGTGCAAAGGCCCTGGGGTAGGAGGCCACCCGTGGCTGTGTTGAACTGACTTGTCCTCTGAGAGAGGGCGGGGGGGGGGGGGGTGGCTGCAGCATCTAAAGCAGAGGAGGGACCTGGACCTGATCTGACTCACCTTCAAATGGGCTCCACCTGGCCACGGGGCAGAACGACCAGGAGGAGGTCAGGGTGGAGGCCACGGACATAAAAATAATCCGGGTGAATGCAGGAGGGCTGCCTAGACTCGGGATGTGGAGTGTTGAGAGAGATCCTGGCTATTTCCGGAGAGCTGGTCAACCCAATGGCCGATGTAGGGTGTGAGGGGAAGTGAGGAGTCAAGGTCACTCCCAGGGCTTAGGGCCTAAGGACCAGGACAGAGCTGTGGTCGCTGAGACCAGGAAATGGTGGGAGGGGCAGATCTGGGGCAAAGGAAGGACAGGCGGGCGCTGTCGGCCCAGGGACACAGGGTGGGCAGAGAGCTTCTACTTCCGGTGGGGAAGGCTCTGAAGGAGGGGAGGTAAGGTGTCTTCCCGGCTGGGCTGAAGATAGAAAGTCCGGAGGCATCAGATGCCGACAGATTTTAAGCCAGGAGACCAGACAGGCTGTCCGAGGAGATAAGTGTGAACTGAGAGACCCCAAGGGGAGGGACACAAGAGTGGGCGGCAATTCTCTGGTAATTGGGTGAGACAGTCATGTTCTGTGGGCCCATCCTGCCCACCTGCCCTGTCCTCGCTGTAAACCCGGGCAGCTGAGATCTCCCTCTCCGAGCCGCCGGCCGTGTATTAGTCAGCCGTGCCACATAACAAATGGCCACAAACAGAACAGCTTAACACACCCGCTTATGAGCTCTCGGGTCTGTAGGGCAGAAGCCTTAGGAGGGCTCAACGGGACTGTCCATTGAGGGTCCCTCAGGGCCAAAATCAAGCTGTTGGCCAGGCTGGGCTCTTCTCGGGAAGCTCTTGGGGGCGGGGGGGGGGGAGGATGTACTTCCAAAGTCATTCAGGTGTTGGCAGAATTCAGTCCCTTGTAGCTGGAGGACTGAGGTCCTGTTTCACTGCCGGCATTTAGCCAAGGGCTGCACCTAAGGCCCTGATCTTCTGTGCACTCCAGACCTCTGACTTCTGCCGCCAGAAAAAGCAGGTAGCTTTTCAGTGTTTCACCTGATTAAGCCTGGCCCACCCAGATAATCTCTGTACCTTACAGTGAGCCGACTTAGGACTTCCGTTCCTTTTGCAGAGCCCTTACAGAGCAGTCCGCAGACTAGCATTTGACTGAATGACCAGACTCTTAGGGCAGGAGGCAGGGACAGCTTTAGAATTCTGCTGCCACGGTTCCCTCACCTGTAAAATGGGTCTCCCCATTTTACACCCACTCTTGGTATGTGACGCCTTGGTGACCCAGCTGCTGTTTCTCTCCGGGGACCTGTTCAGGTGTCCCAAGGGAACCCAAGACTCCGGTTCAGTCATTTACTAGAAAGACTCCGAGCTGAGAGGCACTGTTTAACTCACGGTCACAGTTGATTTCAGCAGGAGGAAACAGGTTAAAATCTGCAAAGGAGGGGGCGCCTGGGGGGCTCAGTCGGTCGAATGGCTGGTTCTCTATTTCGGCTCAGGTCATGATCTGATGGTCGTGGGCCCCACGTCGGGCTCCCTGCTGAGCACGGAGCCTTCCTCAGGTTCTCTCTCTCTCTCCCTCTGCTCCTTTTCCCTACTTGTGGTCTCTCTCTCAAAAAAATAAATAAAATTTTAAAATAAAATGTGCAGAGGGGAGGCCCATGGGTCAGGGTCCCCTGCTCGTGAAGTCGCACGGGCAGCGCCCGGAAGCCTCTCCTGGTCTCCAGCAACCGTGTGCGACGGCCCGGACACAGCCCACCACGGAGGCCCCCCCCCCCGAGCTTGGGTGACCAGTGTGCCTCGGGGGTTGGTCAAATAGGCCGGGCTGACCTTGGTGACTCAGACTCCAGCCACTCCGGAGGGCACACTAAGGGTGTCACGTGGCCCCGACACACACACACACACACACACACACACACACCCGTAAATCACACTGTTAGAATAACCGATCTTGTGTGGCCAAGGCCCTCAGATAAAGACTTTTATCACGCGGGACACTCTAGGCCCCCTGCCCTCCTGCTCCCCCCGCTCCCCACACACACCCCTGCCCTCCTGCTCCCCCACGCCCCCCTGCACTCCTGCCCCCCGCAGCCAGACTACGAGGGCAGAAACCCAGTTAGCAGATGAAAACCCCCAGCCACACACTAACACTTTGACTTCCACTGAGAGTGGAAAGCGAGAGCTTTATTTTTTTTTTAATGTTTGCTTATTTTGAGAGACAAAGAGAGAGAGAGAGAGCGAGCAGGGGAAGGGGAGGGGCGGAGAGGGAGGGAGGGAGAGACAGAGAATCCCAGCCAAGCTCTGTGCTGACAGCATGGGCATGAGGCTCAGAGTCACGAACCAGGAGATCACGACCTGATCACGACCTGGAATTCAGAGTCAGACGCTGAACCGACCAAGCCCCCAGGTGCCCCCAGGGAGAGCTCTGTAAACACAGAGTCACCCATGTGCTGCCCGCCCGGACCCTGGGGGACGGGGGTCGCGGTTGGGGGAGGGGCTCACGGAGAAGAGCTAAGCCCGGAGCCGACTCTGCGCCTGCCTGGCGTCCCCCGTGCCCGTGTGGTCCTCGGCCCTGACGTGCCCTGTTGCAAGGTGACCTCAGTTTCCCAAACCAGGAGTGCCTTCTGCCACCGTCTTAGAAGGGGCCACAGTCCCAGCTAAGCCCCCCAAGGGCCAGCCCGGACGCTCGTTCAGGACTCCACGTGGCTGACACCCCCAAGGCCACCGTCCCACCCTCTGGTCCCCCCAAAAACCAGACTCTCTCTGAAGGTGGGGTCTGCCCTGACCTGGAAGGTTCTGAGGTGGGCCTCCTGGCAGCTTACGGGTTTTGCCTGGCCCCCCGCAGAGTGGGTGGCTTCCTGGCCTCCTGTGACCTGCCCAAGACTGATGGCCGTGTTGGCCATGGCACATTGAATGAGAGCATTCACGGAGTGCCTGCTGTGTGCCCGGCCCTGTCACCGGCACGTGGGACGCAGCAGTGACAGACAAGGGCTGCAGGGAGCCAGGCGACAAACTTACCAGTAAGCACGATAAACAGGTGGGGTGTGTCGTGTGCTGGAAGGTGAGAAATCGGGAGAGGATAGAAAAGAGTTGGCGCCGGGGACTCGGGTCGGGCTGGGGGCAGTGTCTGGAGACGTTTTCGGTTGTCGCGGCTGGGAGGGGGCTGGTGCGAGTCACACCTGGGGCCTTGAGACCAGGGACAGACTCTCTGAGACCAAAGTCTCTGCGATGGGGGAGGGGAGGACCTTCAGGCAGTCCCCTCTGGGTCACACCTGGTTTGAGGATGACTGCTGTCTGCAGGCCCTCATGGTCCTGGCGCCCCCTCCCCCCCACCCCTGCGGCAGTAATTCTGTACCTGGAGGAGGAATGAGCCCTCAGGGAACCCCAGGACCTCAGCCTGTGGCCACCTTGACATCCCTCAGCGTTTGCCCTCATTTAAATGTGAGTGACAATCCTGAACATGACACTTCCGGTGAATTGAAGGTGGTGGTTCTCCTCCAGGGACAGACCTGCCCCCGGGGGACACTTGGCACCGTCTGGGGACAGTCTGGTTGTCAGGACTTGGGGAAGGAGGTGCCACTAGTAAGTGGTGTGTGGATGCTGGAGACGAACGACCCCCAAGTGTCCACAGGGCTAACCCTGCCCAGACCCCCTTACCCAGGTCAGATGTCATCTGCTCCGATGTGTCACGAAGTGCCAGAGGCCGGGCGGCTTAAGCAATAGACACTTCTTCTCACCCGGTCTGCAGACTGGAGGTTCAAGATCAAGGTGCCAGCAGGGCTGATTCCTGCTGAGGCCTTTCTCCTGGGCTTGCAGATGGTCACCTTCTCGCTCACGTGGCGGCTCCTCTGTGCGTGTGGCCCCTGGTGTCTCTCTCCCTTTTTAAAATTTTTGTAAATGTTTCATTTATTTTTGAGAGAGACAGAACCCAAGCAGCGGAGGGGCAGAGGGGGGATGCCGGAGGCCCGCTCACAGCCGGTCCAGGGGTCCCCGAAGGATGGACGGTGCCGGCGAGAGAGAGTGAGAGAGCCCCGAGAATCTTTCTGATCACCAGGCAGGCATCTCCGTCCTGTCAATTTTGATGTCTTTATTTAAAGGTCCAACGATAACATGAGATCAGAAAAAGGAAAGTTTACAGTGGAAAGCTTTTTGTGATAAGATGCTTTGAAAAGGATACAAAAACAGGTTTTTCGGAAGTATTCTTGCAGAACCACCCCAATCATAGTGAGGTTGAGTAAATCTTACAACTACGGATATAACAGGATGTTCTTCGTGAAAAACAGGGTGACATACATATTTGTTCTAAGTTAATAACGCTGAGATTAGGGCACAGGTGAAGTTGGATATAGATAGGCCGGGAGGCATTCTGTCTGCCTCACAAGAGGACCAATGTTGTTGTTTTTTAAATTTTTTAATGTTTTATTTATTTCTGAGAGAGAGAGAGAGAGAGAGAGAGAGAGCGTGAGCAGGGGAGGGTCAGGGAGAGAGGGAGATACAGAATCGGAAGCAGGCTCCAGGCTCTGAGCTGTCAGCACAGAGCCCAACGCGGGGCTCGAACCCAGGAACCGCGAGATCCTGACCTGAGCCGAAGTCGGACGCTTCACCGACTGAGCCACCCAGGCACCCCAAGAGAAAATGACTTTTAATAACAAATGACATGTTCTCTTCTTTCCCTCCCTGTCGGGCACCTCACTTAGCTACAGTGGGCAGCAGACAGAGCCTTAATTCAGCTGCTTCCCATAAGGAAAGAAAAACGGTTATAGGTTAGTGTCAAGGGTCTTGAGAGCCTAACAACACGGGATTTTCCCAAGGGTCCCCCACAATAGTCCTGACCTCCCAACCTGAGTCCTGACCCACCCATCAGCCCCACCCCGGTGCAGCTTGGCCCCAGGGACCACAGCCCCCTCCATCACCAATGGTGTAAAGAAAGATCCAGACCGTGGGCGTTCGCCCTCTAGTGGGCGAGATCGGGAATGACATGAGGTGATGCGTAGGAAGAAGGGAAAGCAAAGGGCATCAAAGGATGGGGGCGGGCTGTTGGAGGTGCGGAGGCCAGCTAGAAGGCTTGCTTGATCAAGGGGTTGGGCAGGGACCTGAAAGAGGTAAGGGAGGGAGCCACGGGGATATTTGCAGAAAGAACGATCCTGACGGAGGAAACAGGCTGTGCAAAGGCCCGGAGGCAGGACCGCGCCTGGTGTGTTTGAGAAACAGGGCGATCGGTGTGTCTGGAGCAGAGGGAGCAAGGGCGGAAGTAGAGGAAAAGAAGGAAGAACGCGCAGGGCCTTGTGGGCTCACGGTGAGGACGTGGGCAGTCACGAGAGCTCCTAGCAGAGGCGGCCCGCGCCCGACTGGGCTGCTCACAGGCGCCCCCTGGCGGTGGAGGGGGGCGGACGTGGCGACCTGAGCAGAGGCGACTGCGCTAACCCGGCGGTAACGTTCCGCATCGCCTCAACGTTCTTGCTCCAGAACAGGTACCGAGCTTTACCTGTGCACTAACAGAAAAGGCCCTTCTGAAAGGCTTTTCCCGAAATAAAGACATCTGTGTCCGGAGTCACAGGGGGGACGATGAGGGAAAGCGCCACAGGGTGCCTGGCCGACCCCCATCTGCTGAGACGCTGACCGGGGGCGGAGGCAAAGCGGGAGTTGGCGCTGCCCAGGCAAAGGGGGGTAGCTGGCCCCTGCCCTTCCCCCACATCTCCTGGGCCTCCCCCCACCATCCGTCAACTACAGGGTCAATTAGCTCTGTCATTTCTGTGGCTTCACGGCTGCTGGTAAAAGTTTGGAACGGTGCCCTGTGCCCGGGGTGGGGGGCTCTGAAACAGACGTGGGGCCAGGCTGGCGCATCACTCAAGATGGCGGAGGACGTGCTGCTTCTGGAACACAGATTTGCTTCTGGTTCCTGCTCTGTGCCCTGCCGGGGTCGCCGGGGGATGGGGTGGGGTGGGGGGGTCCGTTCATCAGTCACTTAGGCACCAGGCCTGAGGAAGCGGCCACTGTCCCTAATGCCACCAGCCACCGAGACACGGAAAAAGAACCCAAGAGTGTCCCTCCCTCACTGGCCACGAAGTGCCCTGGCCCCGCAAGTGCGAGCGCACGGTGTTCACAGTTCATTGGCCAAGAACTCATCCCGTGGCCCCTGGCCAATCACAGGGCCAGGAAGAGTCGTGCCCTCATGTGCTCAGGCGGGAGGGACCGGGAATCGCCGGCAGAGACAGAATGACCACCATGGCCGGGGAGAGGGACCAAAGACCAGGGGCAGGGCCTTGGTTGAAGGCCTCTTCCATCAGGGCTGCCTTGCCCACCCCCTGCCGCCTCTCGGGCTTACCCCGGACCCCATCCCAGACCCACGGGCTGCTGTGATAATAATCCTATGGCATAGACTGGCCTAAGGCTCCACACATATTAACCACTTTGATCTTCAAACAATTCCGTGAGGCGGGTCCTATCGCTACCGTCCCGTTTCGCAGATGGGAAGACTGAGGCGTTAAGTCGCACAGTTGGGGTGAGTGGCAGCCAGGTGGGCACCTGGGCCACCTGGCCCCTCTTGATGCCCCCACACATAGGCTCCACGTCCCCAGCCCTGCCAACGACCAAAGCCCGCATGGCCACGCCTCCACCGGGACGGGTCCGCAGGGAACTGGTGACCCTGAGACCCGGGACTCTGGGACCCCAGCTGCCAGCAGCTGTTGGCTTCTCCGCTGCCCCGGAGGCCGGCCGGCTCGCAAGCAGGCAGTCAGGGCCTCTCTGTTGCCCACGCCGCAGGCGGAGCCGACAAACAGCAGATGGACGCTGAGCTGAGGAAGGAGATGATGGCCATCTGGCCCAACCTGTCCCAGAAGACCCTGGACCTGCTGGTCACCCCGCACAAGTGTAAGAGCCGTGCCTGGCCCAGCCCGGGGCTCTGGCCCGCCAGGACGGACGGGGCGGGGGACAGGAGGCAGGTGCAGGGGCCCGGCTGGTGCCCTCGGGGCCCCCACCCACGGCGAGCTCGCCCTGTGCCCCCCCAGCCACAGACCTGACCGTGGGGAAGATCTACGCGGCCATGATGATTATGGAATACTACCGGCAGAGCAAGGCCAAGAAGCTGCAGGCCTTGCGTGAGGAGCAGGTATGGCCCTGGGCCCTGGCGCCCTCCCCTCCCTGCGGGCACCGTGGTGACAGACCAGAGCAGCCAGGTGTAGCCGGGACCCACCCATGGTGGGTCACTGGACAGCAGGGCTGTGCCGAGGAGGTGGCCTGGATGAACTCATCTGCTCCACCAGCACTTATTGGGCACCTGCTGTGTGCCAGGCACTGTTCTCAGCCCCCGGGGGTGCAGCTATGAGCCAAAGAGATGAGAATCCCTGTGGAGTGGACATTCTAGTAATAAACGACCAACATGGCAGAAAACAGTAAAGGTGATGAGAAAGAGTGCTGGGGGGAAGGAGGGATGCAGTTTGAAATGGGCCTCAGGGAGGCCTTCTCGAGGAGGTGATGTCTGAGCAGAGACTTGAAGGAAGAGGAGAGGGGGTGGGTCATAGCTGAGGGAAGAACACTCCAGGCAGAGGGAACAGCCAGTGCAGAGGTCCTGCGGCAGGACTTTGAGTTTAAGGTCACTGTGGCGGACACGGTGAGCCAGAGTGGAGACGAGGGTGGGGAGGTGACAGGGAAGACCACGCAGAGCCTTGGGGACGGGCCCTGGGAGCAATTTTGACTTTTGCTCTGGGTCAGATGGGAGCCCCCCCCCCCCCCCCGCCTCATTAGAGGTGAGAAGTTACCTCAGTCAGGTGATCACTGGCGCCCTCTGGTGGCCATAGCCGGTAAGGGCTGGAGCAGGGAGACCCTGGAGGAGGCGAATCTCCGGGTCCAGGCGGGTGATGACAGGCCAGACCTGGGTGAGAAGCGGTCCGGTTCTGCATGGATTTGCAAGCAGGAGTCTAGTGGACTGTGTGTGCGTGCGTGCGTGCGTGTGTGTGTTGGAGGTGTGAAGAATTACTTCTGGCATTTTGCTGGGGGCGGGGGCGGGGAGCTAGGAGCATTCTCGCACAGCCTCCCCGCTGTCTGCTGCAGCTTTGGCCAGAGCCTGGGCCCTTGAACACCCTCCCCAACCCCCACCCCCGCGCCCTTCCACCTTGTGCACACTCGTTGCCCTCTCTCTCTCCAGAACCGGACACCACTCATGTTCCAGCGCATGGAGCCCCCATCTCCAACCCAGGAGGGGGGCCCTGGCCAGAACGCCCTCCCGTCGTCCCAGCTGGACCCAGGAGGAGGCCTGTGAGTGTGGCTCTGGCCAGGAGGTGGGGCCGAAAGGGCAGGGGGCGCCATTCCCCGGGGCGGACCGCCACCCTGGCCTCTGTCCCCCACACAGGTTGGCTCATGAAAGCGGCATCAAGGAGAGCCCGTCCTGGGTGACCCAGCGAGCCCAGGAGATGTTCCAGAAGACGGGAACGTGGAGCCCAGAGCGGGGTCCTCCCACTGACATGCCCAACAGCCAGCCCAACTCCCAGGTGCCTCTGTCCCCCCCACCCCACCCCCGCCAGGCCCAAGCAGCACAGGATGGAGGGGTCTGGGGTCCTAGCGTCCGGCCCCGGGACTCACCCGGCCTCGCCCTGTGCCCCGCAGTCTGTGGAGATGCGAGAGATGGGCAGGGATGGTTACTCGGACAGTGAGCACTACCTCCCCATGGAAGGTCAGGCCCGGGCTGCCTCCATGCCCCGCCTCCCCGCGGAGAACCAGGTGAGGGGCTTTCACCCACCCCCCTGGGGTGGATGCGGGGCCCCAGGCTCCCTGCCGGCCAGCAGTGGGGGTGCCATGGCCCCCTTCCCCACACACAGCCCAGGGTGTCTCTACCCTCTGGGGGCCTGGCCCTTAGCTCCTCCCTGATGGGAGCCAGGCGGTCCCTGCCTGTGTGGAGGTGCCAAGGCAGGCGGATGGGGAGGGCCTGTGGGGGTGTGGAAGGGGCGTGGGCGGTGACGGGTCAGGGCCAGGTGAGACCTGAAGTCAAGAATACACACACGGGCACGCACACGCACCTGCACACATGCTGCGAACGTCTGTGCTCCTATGAACGCACATGCGTGCACGCGGGAAGTTGGCAGGTCCTGGGACCTGATCTCAGGGGTGGGGGAGCATCTGGGTGGGGGGCGCCGCTGGGGTTTGTATTTCCTGTCTGGTCGCTGTGGGGCCGGTGGGGAGGGACAGGGGCGGATGGCTGATGCGTGTCTGTGTGTGGCTGCTTCGCCCACAGCTGCAGCGCCTACCTGGTGGGGGGGGGGGGAGGCGGGGCGTAAGCCCACTGCCCCCAGCTCTCGGGGACAAGGGGACCAGAGCCAGAAGCATGGCTGGTGGCGCGTGTGGCTGCGGCAGGCTTACCGTGTGCTGTGCCGTGGCGTCTGCACGGGGTGGAAGGCTGTGCTGTGCGTGGCCAGGCCAGGGTCGCGCAGGGGCCTGGGCACTCGGGTGGGGGGCACCCAGCTGCATGTGGCTGCCCAGCCTCATCGTGCCAGCACCCCCCATCCACAGCCCCAGAACTGAGCTGCTTGGCCCCAAGAGAGGGCTGGGACCGGACGGCTGACGGCCACCCCATCCCCAAGCTTTTGAGTGTCAGCGGGAAAGAGGGCGGGGGCGCATCGCATGAGGCGGAGCCCGGGGCCAGGGGCCTGTGGTCACGCCACCCCATCTGTCCGTCTCGTGGCTCTGCCATCTGTCTGTCTGCCGTGTCTCCTGTCTGTCTCCTCTGTGCCCGTGGGAGGCTGGCCAGCCCGGCCTGGGGCCCCCACGCACCAGAGACCTTACCGTCTCTTCCCCGCCCCCACCCCACCCTCCCGGGCCGCCCGGGCCCCTCCTCCCAATCCTGGCATCTCCGTGTGCCACCTCTCCCTCTCCTTCTCCCTCTCCCTCTCGGCTTTTATATTTATTTTCTTCTTTCTGTTTTTCTGTGTGCACCATCCCGTGGGGCTGTGACAGAGGAGAAGGGGCCGGCCACGTGGGAATAACCTCAGTGTATGTACCGCGCCGCCCGCCTCCCAGCTGGGCTCCGGCCCCCTCTTCCCGCCCACCCCCCCTCGTGGGAGTCCCGTCGTCTCCCCTGTCCTCGGATCCCCCCCTTTCTTTGCAGACTGCAACCCCCCCAACCCCGTGAAGCCCCATCCGTGTGTGTTGTGTCTTCCATGTGCCCTGCTGGGTGGGCCTGCCCCCCACTCTTCCCCCATGCCCCCTTCTCCAAGCCCCCCCCCCCTGAGCTGCAAGGTGCCGACCTTCCGAGAAGCCTCGCCCGCAGCCCCGTCTGGCCTCCTCTTTCTCCAAGGCTCCTTCCCCTGACGCCACCCTGACCCTCTGGCGCTGAAGCCCTGGGTCCCTTAAAACTGCCGCCTTGGGCTGTGCCGCTGGCCACTCAGCCCGCCGGCCACGGGTGCCGCCTGCCTCCTCTTCTCTCTCCCAGCGGCAGAGCAGCAGGCCCCTCTCTAGGGTTTGACCCCTGGGGGTGCGCCACGTGCAGGCTCCCAGGTTGCAAGCCAAGAGGAGGAGCCAGTCCCCCAGGGCCTCAGATGCCAGGGCAGCCCCCCAAGGACTCCCTACAGGGCGGGACTCGGGTGGGCAGGAACGCCTGGCCCCACTAGGCCAGGAAAGGACAGTGAGGCCACAGTGAGCGAGGGGCAGTGCTGCCCGGTGCCCAGGGCTTCCGGCGGGTACTCTGGAAGGCGGGGGAGGCTCTCCCCTTCAGCGAGCCTGTCTGCCCCGGGCTGGGGGGTACCTCCCTGGGGTTGGATCAGATGGAGCCTCTCGGCCAGAACCCAGGACAGGCCTGGGAGGAGGCACCAGGGTCCCGGGACCCTGGGGGATCAGAAGCCGAGCCCCCCGGCCCTCTCGGACTCTGCCCCGGACAGTCACACCCCATTGCTAAGGGCCGAGGGAGTGGGACAGACCAGGACGGCTCTGGGCGGGCGTGCGTGCCACTGATCCCGGCCCGCTGGCCTGTCCGCCCCCCCCAGACCATCTCAGACACCAGCCCCATGAAGCGCTCGGCCTCCGTGCTGGGCCCCAAGGCCCGGCGCCTGGACGACTACTCCCTGGAGAGGGTGCCGCCGGAAGACACCCAGCGCCACCACCAGCGGCGACGAGACCGGGGCCACCGGGCGTCTGAGCGCTCCCTGGGCCGCTGCACGGACGTGGACACAGGTGGGCCAGGGACTGGAGGCCCGATAGGAGGTGCTGGATTGGGGGCGGGGTAGGGGGTAAGGCAGAGCAGCGCAAATAGGAGGGAGCCCTGGACAAGGGGCGGGACCGCTGGGCCAGCGGCTGCTCAGAGCCTGGGGACCTGACCCCGGTGCCCCGCAGGCCCTCCTTGGTCCGGGAGAAGGCGCCCCCTCTAGAGCCCACAGGCCCCAGGGAGGCCGCCTGTGTGTCCCCCGCCCCTCCTTCATGGCCCCGCCTGTTTGTCTGACCCCCCTGCTCGGCCCAGGCTTGGGGACCGACCTGAGCATGACCACCCAGTCCGGGGACCTGCCGTCTAAGGACCGGGACCAGGAGCGGGGCCGGCCCAAGGACCGGAGGCATCGGCACCACCACCACCACCACCACCACCCCCCACCCCCGGACAAGGAGCGCTACGCCCAGGAGCGGCCCGACCATGGCCGGGCCCGGGCCCGGGACCAGCGCTGGTCCCGCTCACCCAGCGAGGGCCGTGAACACATGGTACACCGGCAGGTGGGTGTGGCACGGGGCGCCCCTGACCCCAGCCGGCGGGATGGGGAGGGGTGCGGGGGAGGGGGGCACACCACACAGCCGCTCTAGGCAGGGTCTCCGTGTTCCCCAACTGTGACCCCTGACCCTGCCCACCACTGGGATCCCCAAGCCCCCGGGGGGGGGGGGGCGGGGAGCCACTCGGGCTCCCCACTCTGCACCCCCCAGCCCTCCTGCACGCCTGCCGCCCCCTCCCCTGCCCCACAGCTGCTTCCTCTTTGGTTGTGGATCACCGTTTGAGTTTCTGGCCAGCGTGGTCCTTAACGACTCATGCCCCCCCTCCCCGCTGGCTGCCTGCTGCCTTTTGCTTTCCTTTAACCCGGCTTCCGTTTTTGTTTCGATTATGATTTCTGTCCTCTGGACGCCTGTGAGTAATTTTTGAAACTTCTGCTCTTTAACCCCGAAACTTACAAAACTCCATTTCTCATTTCTCTTTTCACTTTGTTGTGTTGGTTTTCGACTTCCCCCTCCCTCCTTGTCTCTCCCTCCTCCTCCCCTCCCCCCCTCCTCCTCCCTGTGGCTGTTGCTTTTCTCCTTTTTTTCCATTCAAATGTCCTGTGCCCCCCTCCCCCACCTCCTCCTCCCGGCCCCTCCCCGGTCCCCTTTGGTTCTCCTTTGCTCCCCTCCCTCTCTCCCTCCCCGCCCTCTGTGTCTCCTCCGTCTCCTTCTGGTTGATTTTGTTGTATCTTTTTTTTTGATTTCCTTTGTTTCAATTTTCGTGTAGGGCAGTAGTTCCGTAAGTGGAAGCCCAGCCCCCTCAACATCTGGTACCAGCACTCCGCGGCGGGGACGCCGCCAGCTCCCCCAGACCCCCTCCACCCCCCGGCCACACGTGTCCTATTCCCCCGTGATCCGTAAGGCCGGCGGCTCGGGGCCCCCGCAGCAGCAGCAGCAGCAGCAGCAGCAGCAGCAGCAGCAGCAGCAGCCGGCGCGGCCGGGCCGGGCGGCCCCCAGCGGCCCGCGGAGGTACCCGGGCCCCGCGGCCGAGCCTCTGGCCGGGGAGCGGCCGCCCGCGGGGGGCCACGGCAGCAGCCGCTCGCCCGCGATGGAGCGGCGGGGCCCGGGCGCGGTCCGGAGCGAGTCCCCCAGGGCGTGTCGCCACGGCGGGGCGCGGTGGCCGGCGTCCGAGGGGCCCCCCGGGCCCCGGCACCACGGCTACTACAGGGGCTCCGACTACGACGAGGCCGACGGCCCGGGCGGCGGCGGCGGCGGCGGCGGGGACGAGCCCCGGGCCGCGGCGTACGACGCGCCCCCCCCTGCGCGCCGCGCGTGCTCGCCCAGGACTCCCCGGGCCCCGGGTCCGGCGTGCGCCTCGCCTTCCCGGCACGGCCGGCGACTCCCCAACGGCTACTACCTGGCACACGGCCCGGCACGGCCGCGCGGGCCGGGCCCCCGGAGAGGCCTGCACGAAGCCTACAGCGAGACCGACGACGACGACTGGTGCTAAGCCCGGGCGAGGTGGCCCCCGCGCCCGCCCGGCCCCCCCCACGCACCCCACGCACACGCCCCGCGGGGAGGAGCCGCGCACGGGGCCGCGGGCCCACCTCGCTGCCGCCTGCCCAGCACACACGGGGGGTGGGGGGCCCCCCCGGGACGGCCCCGGACTCTGGAGGGAGTCCCCAGGACCCGGACACACCAGGGTGGCCCGCCAAGACCCTCGGCCAGAAAAGCCGCTCCCCGGAGGGGTGGGGGGCCGGCGGCGATGAGCGCCCCCCCCAACCACCCAACCCAACCCGCCCCCCTCGACGGGGGGGGGCCCCTGGGCAGGGGTGGTGGGGAGACAGACAAACCACACAGCCAAGGGATTCGAATTAACTCAGCCATTTTTGGAGAACCTTGGGGAAAATGGAAATTTAAAAAAACAAAAAAACATTTTTAAAAGAAAAACGGGGAGAAAAAAAATCGCTTCTATTGATGAGTTTTATCATCTCAATTGAATCTTTCCTTTCCCTGGTGAGCGCGAGCTGGTGGCCCGTGTGTGGCGGAGAAGCCGGAAGCGAAGCGGAAACCCAGCGACCCACACGAGCCCTCCACCGGACAGTCATACCCCACCCGCGTTCTCAGACCCACACAGGAGTGCTTGCTGGTTATACCAAACCCTACTATTACTGCCTGCAGAAATCAATTTAAAAAAAACAAACAATTTTAAAAAGGACAAAAAAATTAATGATTGAGAAAAGAAGCATTTTTTTCTGACATTTGGTCCTGCTTGAAATAACAAAGAAAAAAAAAAAAACCACCACCACCACCACCACCGAGTTCCTTTGCTTCTTTTTTCCTTTTTCCTACCTTGTTTGAAAACTGTGGGCTTGGGACTGTGAATTACTGCATGACATTCAAAAAGAAAAAAAAAAATAAAAAAAAAGTTGAATCAAAGGGCTTTCGGATCGGACTTGTCTTTATCCCTCTGCAAAGTGCTCCCAGGGTCTCTTTGGGGGACCGGTGAAGGAAGCCCTTTGAAAGTGTTGGAAAGTAGCAAAGAACAAGTCAGACACAGACCTTGTTCCTCACAAGGCTTAGTGGCCAGAGCCCTAGAAATCCGGGCTACCTGAACAAGTGCAGGAAGGCCATGGCCAACGGTACTACCCAGGTCCCGGCTGGAAGACCGAGCAGTGCACCCCACACCTCGGCCCTCAGACACCCAGATCTCCCGCAGTCTGCCCTCAATAAGGTTCGACCTAAAAGCAGCCAACCTGGGAAATAAATCATCTTGAATGACCATCCTGCAGGATGGGGTCCCAGGGAGCCCCTGTGAGGCCCCGAACATTAGCAAAACTTCTATGAGAAACACCTGGGCAGCTGGTGGGGCGTCCTAAAGGTCAAAGGGCAGAGCAGCCCCCCCCCATTGGGGGCTCAAGATGCTGAGCAAATCAGAAGTACAGGTCAAGGTGGAGTTCTTACATAGGGCGCCTGGGTGGCTCAGTCGGTTAAGCATCCGACTTCGGGTCAGGTCATGGTCTCACAGTTTGTGGGTTCGAGCCCCGCGTCAGGCTCTGTGCTGACAGCTAGCTCAGAGCCTGGAGCCTGTCTTCTGATTCTGTGTGTCTCTCTCTGACCCTCCTCTGCTCATGCTGTCTCTATCTCTCTCTCAAAAATAAATAAAACGTTTTTTTTTAAAAAAAAAAGGTGGGGTACTTACAAAGGGGCCTACGGCCTGGCCTCCCGCCAGGCAAACCCACCCAATGCACCTGCCTGTACACTCGGACTGCAGCCTAACAGAATGAAGATGGTAGAAGACTCCCACCTTGCCCCCCATCTTCAGGAACTCTCCTTGCCTATTCTGTGAATGCTCCTGTAAATATGAGCAATAGCCACACAACTATGACAGTGAGATTAGGCAGGCAGAGGGCTGTGTTGATTCAGGAGAGCAAAAGACAGTTATAGCCCCTTGTTCAAGTTGAGCGGAAAGGCAGCTCCTCGTTCTCCCTAGAAAGGGCTGCTGAGAATCCCATGAAGCCTGCAGGCCAGGAGGGGGGATGGTCCTCAGGAAACACCAGGACACCAGAAGAAGGAAAATCAGAGGCCAGGTGGGGGGAGACTAATCACCAACATCTACCACACCCCCACTTCCGGGTCAGTCATTGAACCCTGGGAAGCTTGTCTCCACCAGGCTCCCTAGAACCACTTCCAACTCAGCTCTAGCCTCACTGGCTGTGTGACCTCAGAAAGTGACAACCTCTCTGTGCCTCTGTTTCCATCTGTAAAACCAAAATGATAATGAGACTATGAAAATTAAATGCATTATTTTACATCAGCCACCAGCGAACTTTTTCTTCAAGGATCAGAGAGTAATATTTTCAGCTTTGAGACCCAGGTAGTCTCTATTGCAACTCTTCAACTCTGCCGTTGCACCAGGAAAGCAGCCAGAGATAACATGCTAACAAGTGAATGTGGCCATGTTCCAATAAAACTTTATTTATAAATACAGGCAGGCAGTGAGCCAGATTGGGGCCTTTATCCTACATAAGCGGTTCCCAACCTGTTTGGTGTCAACACCCCTTTACATTCTTAAGAAAATTATTGAGGGGATGCCTGGATGGCTCAGTTGGTTAAGCGTCCGACTTCGGCTCAGGTCATGATCTCACGGTTCATGGGTTCAAGCCCTGCGTCGGGCTCTGTGCTGACAGCTCAGAGCCAGGAGCCTGTTTTGGATTCTGTATCTCCCTCTCTCTCTGACCCTCCCCTGTTCACACTGTCGATCTCTCTCTCTCTCAGAAATAAATAAAACATTTTTAAAAAATTATTGAGGACTCCAAAGCATGTCTATTTATTTGGGTTATAGTTACTGATATTTACCATTTAGAAATTAAAACGGAATTTTTAAAAACTATGTATTCGTTTTTAAAACACAATCATATTTAGGATGAGAAATAACCACACTTTTCAACAACGAAAATCCGCGAAAAGAGAGCCTTTGTTTTACATTTTTGCATCTGATTCATGTCTGCTTACAGAAGACAGCTACATTCTCCTATCTACCCACCTCTGCATCCAACTTGTTGCAATATCGGCTACATTCTGGAAGCCGGACAGTACACATGTGAGAGAACGAAAGTATTAAAGACACAGGACACCTTATTATTATAAAAATAGTTTGGCCTTATGGGCCCTCTGGAACGATCTCAATAACCCCACCCCCCCAGGGGCCTGGACCCCTTTGAGATCTGCTGTTCTCAGAATGTCACCCCCGTCGCTCCGTGAGCCATTATTACCATAGCACCAAAGCAGAAAGTTCGACAGGTCTGCCCTCCAGACCTCAACCCTTGAGCTTACCTTGGGCAAAGAAGGCTGAGAGACTCCAAAGGGCAAGGCAAACAGAGCTCCGTCTATAATACCGAGGGATGGGAAGCGACCGTCTAACAAAAAGCTAAAGACGGTTTGAACTTCCTAACTAGGTAGCTTAGCCAATCACAAGTCCCGCAGATGTCTGGGGCAGCCGCCCGACCAAGGCGGGGCCGGCTGCTGGCTAAGGCTCACCTCCGGAGGGGCTGAAGCCGTTGGACAGCACATTTGTCCTGTGCAATTCCCTCTGGAGCCTGCAGCCATCTGTCCACAAGGGAACAAGTCAGAGCGACCGCCCCCCCGCCCAGCCCCCAGACCCAAAGGCCGAACCTGTGGCTGAGTGCAGGGAGGGCTGGACCCCAGGCCTCCGTCACCCACACCTTCAGACAGGAGTAAATGTCAGCTGCCCAGGAGAGGGAGAGTTAGAGGGGGGCTTGGCTTAAGCCCTGGTCTCCCATCCCCTCAGTCTCCAGCCTTAGCCACATCATCGGGAAGGCTGAAGAAGGGGAAGGAAATGGAGACTCTACAAGCCAAGTATGCCATGCAAATGCCCTGGACAGCTCCCTACTGGGGACAATAATCTGAGAGACCCAGGCTTATTACAGATGTGTCCTCAGGGCTAAAAGGAACTGTTTCCCTATAATCTAAAGCTCCCCATTGTTATCACTCTGAGCCTCAATGTTCTGTCTGTGAAATGGGGGCCTTCTGCTGTGTCAGGGAGGCAAAACATTTCCTCTACCCTCTTAGATTCAGTCACTGAGGCATGTGAATTAAACTAAGAAATGACAGAGGCACCTGGGTGGCTCAGCTGGTTGAGCGTCTGACTTCGGCTCCCGTCATGATCTCACTGTTCTTGGGTTTGAGTCCCATGTTGGGCTCCATGCTGACAGCTCAGAGCTTGGAGCCTGCTTCGGATTCAATGTCTCCCTCTTTCTCTGCCTCTCCCTTGCTCTCACTGTCTCCCTCTATCTCTCAAAAATAAACATTAAAAAAAATTAAGAAAATAACATATTAATAGTAAAAAAGGACAATTTTAATTAATATTTACGTGCACAGAAAAGCAGTGAAATTCAAAAAAGTGATTCGATTCGGGTTTAAATACCATTTTAGCAAAGAAAAGGGAGCTTGGGATTCCAAGGTTGATAACTTAGGAGCGAAGTGACTAGGAAATATATAGTGGAAACTAATGGAAGATAAGGATTATTTTCATAAGGTTTCATCAAGTTTGTTTATACAGACTCAGCTTGGTGCCTCGCCATCTTCAGTGATGAGTCACTCTTCTCTTCCTGACACATGAGAAAAGGGGACACCTTCAAAAAGGGAAATGCATGTCACCTTCTTAAGAGGAAATTCATGCCCCGCTTTTAGGCGGAAGGGGGGAGGACAGTGAACTCTTCTTCGTCTCACTTGCCTTCAGCTCAAAATAACCCTTTTGCTAAAGTGGCATATTTAGCGGTGCGGCAGATCTGACCCCCATCAGTGGCCATCAAAGGACTGGCGGGGTGTGGATGGGTGACAGCGCCTGGCTGGAAGACTTGTGGGAAAGTCAGATCTGTGTGTGGGTGCCAACCAGAGCACCCCATGATGGGGACCACTGGCTCCTCAGGAATGCTGTGCGGCGTGGAGGTAAAGCCCTGATTTTAGGGAAGCAAC